GCAACTCTGAGTTTCCCAAAATAGACACCGTCCTATTGGGAAGGTTACTTTTAAAATATATTCCACTACAGATTACAGAATACATGCCCCAAAATGTATTTTGTAACATATTCCGTTACGTTACTCAATAAGAGTAACGTATTCTGAATACTTTGGATTACTTAATATATTATTATGCTTTTTACAACTGCATAAATGTACTATTGCTGTGTGATTTATTACTATTACTGAAGGTTACTCGCCATACCAATACCAACTAAATTTTTAAATCTTAATATAAATGAGTAACAGTAGGGTGGACATTATGTAAGGCTGCACTTTTTGCAGTGATTTCATATAGAAAACTATTCCACGCGTATATAAAACAGGTTCGCGGCTCCAAACCATAGTAAAGGGACCTCTGGCTAATACGTCGGGTTTGTGTCAGGCTCATACCCGAAAACTAGCTTTACGTTGTTGTCTGGGTCAACTTTGCTAGCGTGAGACAGAGAGAGGCGTTGAAAGGCTGCTCCAATGGAACTTATTGTTTCAGAGGAAAACACGAACACAGTGTACAGTTGAGTCTTAATATAAACATATTTTGTATTTTAAATACGTAACGCCGGTACATGTATTCCATTACTCCCCAGCACTGCCTATCCATCATTATAGTAATTAAGTCCATATTGGATGAGTCCAAACTTTTATGACATGACTTCATGGCATAGACACAGACTTTATTTAATGCCACACTGGGGAAATCCACTTGTTACAGCAGCACAAGGGACAGGAAGAAATATGTGAAGTAGAGCTATATTAGAAAACAATAAAAATAGAAAAAATACATTAGAAAATTAGTGTACAAACGCCAGTATTGATTCAGAACGAGCCTGTTCTAAAGCATCTGATATAAGGTTATTGTATTTAATGGAAAGTAAACTAAAAACTAAAACTTGATATGTAAAAAAAAAACTTTTAATTAAATAACTAATTAAAAATTTCAATAAGACTTTTGAAAAAACTAATGATTTTGTGAACTGGGAAAATTAACTCAAATTAAATAAAAAATGCAGAGGAAATAAAAACCTTAGTTTTAGTGTTTGTTAGTT